CGTACAACCTCTCTGTGGAATAATTTACCACCGGTGATTTTTCCGGACCGATACGACCTGGGGACCTTCAAGAAAAGAGCTTACTCCTTTCTAAAGGGCCGGCAACGCACCTGCAATTCCCCTGGTGTTGCGGTTGATCATGGGCGGCGGTAGTCACTTAACATCAGGTGAGCCACATGCTCGTTTGCCCCCTCTTCTATAAAAAAAAAAAAAAAAAAAAAATATCTATTAATTTCTTCATATCCTTGTCTGTTTTTGCATATAATTTGATGTCGTCCATGTATATAAGATGCGATATTGTTGTTTCGTCTGTATTAAGTTTGAGGCAATATCCGGCCCCGCAGCTCTGCAGCAAATGAGACAGAGGGTTTAGGGCGAGACAGAACCACAGTGGGCTCAGGGAGTCACCTTGGTAGATGCCTTTTGTGATTGAGATTTGTCGCGTGGTGACAGTATTTTGGTTACAATTTATTTGTAGTGTTGTTTTCCATTGTAACATTATTCGGCGTAAGAAATCGATTATTTTCGGATTTATTCTATAAATTTCTAATATTTTTAATAACCATGAATGAGGAACACTGTCAAACGCTTTTTTATAATCAATATAGGTGCAATGTAAATTTCTATTTTTAGAGATGGCGTGTTTATGAATAGTGGAATCAATTATCAGCTGTTCTTTACATCCCATGTGGCCCTGTCTACATCCCTTCTGTTCTTCTGCTATTATATTGTGGTGTTCAATGTGCGACTAAATTTTCTTTGTGATTGTAGATGTCAATATTTTGTAAATTGTGGGTAGGCATGTAATTGGTCGGTATTGGGAAGGCTGAGGTGAATTTTTAGTTTTAGGTAGCATATAAGTAATTCCTGTTGCAATAAATTCGGGAGTGTTCTGTTGTCCTGTTATTATATCTGTTAAATTTCTTGCTAAAGGTTTGTGTAGAGACGTTAATTTTTTGTACCAAAAATTATGAATTTTGTCTATACCAGGTGATTTCCAATTATGTAACCTAGCTGTAATGAGTGTTATGTCTAACTCTGTTACCTCTTCGAATTCCATTTCGTCAATATCTCTCCATTTTGCTTCCTCTTCAATTATCCAAGATGCTTTGTCGTTATGTTGTTTTTGCTCTTCCCAAATACTCGCCCAATATGCTTCTAGTTGTTCTTTTGTAGGTAGGTTAGGTGTATGTGTGTTACGTTCATCGATTATGTCTGTTTGTGGTTTGTGTAAGTTTCTATAAAACAATATTTCGTTTGTGGCAAATCTGACGTTATCTTTTTTGCGCTGTTGTGCTTTTTTATACCTTTTGAGCCTATGAACTTTAAGTGCTAATTTTTGTTTTAACGTGTCTAAAAATTCTTCAGGTCTTGTGTTACTTTTTTCGTGTCTGGTATGCGTAGCATTATTCCTAAATATGACCTCTACTTTTTTGACTAGTTTATTGGATCTACAACCGTTAATATACTGAGTGAGTCTACCTATGTTTGCTCTTAATTTTTTAATGTCTTTTTCTAGTCTCTGTTGCCATGCTGGTTCTGTATTTTGTCTTGTTCTTGTAGTTCTTGCATTGTCTGTGATTTTGAAGTTCAATTCTTCGGATATTACTATCGCTGTGCAGTATATAAGTAAATGTATGTCTATAAGTTGTGTGTCATCAGATATATATTGTGTGAGTATAGTTTCATTAAATAAATTAACCAGTCGAAACAGGTTAGGTGTGTACTTAAGTTTAGGTAATCTTGGTCGCGCTGCGGGATCCATCCCAGAGTATAACGTTATTGTTGTTCTAAATTTCTCATTGATTTCTTGGATATATGTATCTGTTGTTAAGTGTTGATCTGGGACAACTATGGTCTCAATATCATTTTCTAGCGTTAGTATTACGGTTTCGGTTTGTGTGGATGTGTGTGATATTTGTGAATGGTCGCATGGCTGAGATTGTGTATAAATGAGTTGTGATTGACTGAGCAATTGTGGTTGTACTTGGCGATCATTTTCACTTGTGTTTTGTGTGATATTAGTTTCTACATAGCTGTTAGTCGCTTCTTCTTGAATTAATTGTGTTCGTACTTCTTCTTTTAATTGATCTATAACTTCTTGGGATAGAAGTTTATTCCTAACTATGGTTCTTCTTTGGTCTGAGATTCTTTGTTCTGAAACAGTAATTTCTGGATATTGTCGAGTGAAATGTGCGTGTAATTGTTGTCTGTACGTGGTCATATCGGTTTCTAATTTAGTAATGTATAGATAAGTTCTCATGATAAATAGATTTACTTCTTTACTCCATTTCATTCGAACTCTTGCTTTTCCAGCCTTGGTGGACGCGGGTAAGAAGGTAGATACCTCCCGCGCAGCACTCAAGATCGGAGTAGGTGGAACTGTATTTAAACTAGTAATAGGGGGTGATGGAGGTGTTGGTGACGATGGTATGGATGATGATGTTGGCCTCGAGGGTGTGTATGATACTGTGCTTGGACTATATGGTTCTACAGGGGTGTCTGTCCTGTCCGTCAGTCTGTCACCATCATCAATGAGTTCGGCTGTAGTATCTTTGTGGGTGGGAGCCCGCCTGTTCAACTCCTCACCGCTGACGGATCGCATGCTGTGACACCCAGCGTCAGCTCCAGGTGCACCCCGGCGATCGCCCCCGGGTAGCGGCCCTATACGTTTACTTTTAGAACGAGTCTCCATTTTATTTATGGGTTTCCAGAGCCACGTTAGCCACGCCAGTAATTTCTCATTCGTGTGTCCGCCCCCCACGTGATTAGATGGTCAATCAGGACGTGTGGTTGTTTAGGGGGCTTATTATTATGTGGGGTATCTATATAGTTTTCTCATCTGGTTGGGATGTATAAATATATAATTATAAATGAAAATGAAAAGATAAATATACATAAATATTAATAAAATAAAATAAATACAAAAATACATAAATAAATAAAAGCCCAACCAGATGGAAGCCCTCGGCAGGGGGAGACCAAACGGCCGAGGGTTAGGGAGAAAGGGAAAGAAACCGGCGGACGATGCGGGCAGTATCAAGGAGCACCGCCTTCTGCATTTGAGCCCGGAGTGGTCCGTCACGGAGTCCCAGTCGCCTCAGATGACCAGAGAGGCTAACTGGGATTAGCCCATTCGCAGAGACGACTACAGGAATAATTTCGGTCGGCATACCACCCCACATGTCGGTCACCTCGTGAGCCAGGTCCAGATACTTTGATTGCTTATCTGTTTCGGCTTTCACGAGGTTCTCGTCATACGGGATGGTAATATCGACCAAAAATATTCTTGACTGTGCCCGGTCCATCAGCACAATATCAGGTTTATTCGCAAGAATAGTCCTGTCTGTGATGATGGCCCGGTCCCAGTAGAGCCTGGCGCGGTCATTTTCGAGCACGGCTTCCGGCAAGTACTTGTAATACGGCACTTTCCGGTCCACGAGACCGTATTTCAGAGCGAGCTCCTGGTGTAGAATTCTGGCTACTAGGTTGTGCCTGTGCAAGTACTCAGAGTTAGAAAGCGCCGAACAACCGGAGATGACATGCCTAAGTGACTCCCCGGGATGGCGACAAGCTCGACAGACGTCGACGGTGCCATCCTTTAGGATGTATCTCCGATAGTTGTTGGTCTTAATAACCTGATCTTGTATTGCACAGACAAAACCCTCGGTTTCCCCGAAAAGGTCACCGAAACGTAGCCAGTTGAGGGAGGCGACTGTATCTACGAAGGGCTCATGTAGAGCCTTGTAGTACCTCCCGTGGAGCTCCTTCTCCTTCCATACGGTCTCCCGGTCGGGGAATACTAAGCACTGCCGGGTCCTGCCATTGCTCGTTGGCTAAGGATAGAGGGGTAAGCCCTTTATCACTAGAAATGACGTCATTATAGAATGGATCATCCGATCTCGTCAAGAAGTATTGACGGAGACTGCACACTTCGCGATTATGCATGGTGAGCGCGCTCAGAAAGCCACGCCCACCATGCTTTCGCGGCAAGTACAGCCTCATTACCGACGATCTCGGATGATGCATCCTATGGGACGTCATGGTAGTGCGGACTTTTCTATCCAGGGCGTTAAGCTCAGTCTGAGTCCACCTGAGTATGCCAAAGGTATACATGAGGACAGGCATGACCCAGCAATTATATGCGTGTGACTTATTCACACCGGACAAAAGGCTGTTAAGCACTTTGGTCAAGCGTGCATAAAACACGTCGCAAACTGACTGTTTCATACCAGCCTCATCGATACCGATGTTCTGTGACATACCCAGGTATCGGTATGTTTCAGCCTCGGAAAGGGTCCTTAAGTTGACGGGCATAGACAAGTCTATGCCCTCAGAGTTAGCAACCCTTCCCCTCTCAACATGGAGGACCGCACACTTATCCGTCCCCAGCTCCATTCCAATGGAACTGCTAAATTCACAAGTGATGTTTAGCAGTTCCATAAGATGGGAGCGACTGGAGGCGAATAACTTGAGGTCATCCATATAGAAAAGGTGGGTCACTTTTGTCCCTCCTCTCCGTAGCTGAAATCCCCTCCCGGAGCCCTCCAGTAAGGTACTGAGAGGGTTTAGAGAGAGGCAGAACCAGATTGGACTCAGACAATCGCCCTGGAAGATACCCCTTCTTATCCTTATGTGGTTCTCCGCAGCCATCATCCGCTCGCCCAGATGACAAAGGATCGTACTCCACTGCCCCATACACTGCTCGAGGAAGTCTCTAACTGTACAGTCAATCTTGTACAGCTCGAGGACCCTCCTTAGCCATGTATGGGGCACCGAGTCGAACGCCTTTCTATAGTCTATCCAGGCGGCAGAGAAGTTCCGACGGTTGCGTTTCACCACTTTGCCTATGACCGCGTCAATGAGGAGTGGTTCCTTGGTTCCACGACCACCGCCCCGACATCCATTTTGAGCGCGTGACATCAACTGGTTTAGCTCCAGGTGCCGAGTGATTCTCGCGCTCAAAATGGATGTCAGTGTCTTATATATGGTGGGTAGACACGTGATGGGGCGGTATTTGCTCGGGTCTGTGGTATCCTGATCTTTAGGAACCAAGTGAGTGATCCCAGTAGTGAAGAGGCTCGGGAGCGACTTCTGGTCGAGAGCCTCTTGAAACTGTCGGGCGAGCACAGCGTGACACACTATGAACCCCTTCAGCCAGTAATGATGCAGCCCGTCGAGCCCCAGACTTTTCCAGTTCGGGGCCCTACGGACCGCCTCAGCCACGTCTTCCGGCGTTACGGTGATGGGGTCCATAGGCGTAACACTCGCACCCTGGCTCGCCACAACTTCCATCCAAGGGCCCTCGCTGTGGTTTACGGGCTCTGACCACAGGCCACGCCAGAATGCGATAATGTCTGCCTGATCCGGTCCTTGGCCCGCTCCACATACCTTTGGTCGCTCCAATGATTTATAGAGCCTCTTCTGATCACTCTGGAAGAGACGATTCTGGTTGAACCGCCTTGACCTGTCGGTAAATCGTCGAATCCGCTTCCCCCAAGCAGCGATCTTTTGCTTCAGGTCGTCTATGCGCTCCGTTAGTTTCTGCGTGATATCCGGCTGGGACAAACTGGTATTTGTCCCAGCAAACGCCATCCTAACGGTGCGCATAATCCTCGGTCTATTATTACCCGACCTGAAGCTTGTCAGTCTGCCGATAAGGGCCCTTGCCTTTGCGATACGGTCCTCGATTCTTTTTCTCCAGGCTGGGATGGCGCTACTTTGTGTAGTAGCGCGTCCAGCCATGGGAAGTTTGGCGCCAATAATACGGCATACTGCCACTGCGGCGCCAAAGAGAATTGAGTCCGTCTCGCAAAGGTCCCGGCTGGCTTCCAAATAGGTCACCAGCATTGGGTTAAGAGCCCTCACGACAGCCCGATTTCGCTTGCTTAGGGGTATGCGGGGAAGTCGCGGTCGATTTTCGATAGGGGTGCTGCGCGTTTCCAAAATCGCCTCTTCCAGTATACTCCTCATTTTCTCTAGTTCGTGGGAGACTATTTCATCGTCGTTCGAATCAACCACAACGGGAAGATCCAGGGCGGCTTCCACGTGTGGATGCTGGTCTGTCGAATGTGGAGCTGCATCTCCAGCCATAGCCGATTCATTCGACGACGGAATAGCCTCACGTCGTAGTCGTCCGAGTTCGGCATCATCAAATATTTTCGAGCGCATGATGTACCGAACTCGGTCTGCCAGGTTTTGTTCCGTGACGGGGGTAGAAGGCTCCAGCTCAGCAAAAAAGCAATGCATCCGAGACCTATACGCTATTCCCACAGTTTCTTCCCCTTTCGCCCTATAGTACGCCCGCAATGCGTTTTCATTCATAGGTTTTGTCCAACGCATGCGACGTGCTCCACCAGCGGCGGGTGCCGCTTGCTGAGTCCGAGAAGACCCAGCCGACACCAAGCCTTCTGGTGGGGATGATGGATGCGAGGGGCTGCTAGGTGATCGTGCAGCTCCTCGCGCTCGGCTGGCGGCCCGCATGCTGCCGCGTCCAGCGCCAGCTCCAGACGCGCCCCGGCGACCCCCAGGCAGCGGCCCTATGCGCGTTCCTCTTTGTGCCATCATCCATTTTATGGGCGCCAAATAACGGGAGACGCCCAAACCCGGCACCGTTTCGTGGTTGGGTCATATGCACAAACGGACCTTTGCACCTACAATTTTGCCTAGGCACGGCGCTCACACCTCTTGGCAGGATGCTGACTGACTGCGCCGACGTAGCAGTTTTGTCACATAACTGTTACGTCAGCGGGCGATGGGGTCGTCACTTCCCTACGCCGTTTTATTAATGTGTTTATTATTGTTATTATTATTATTATTATTACAACCTTCAAAGCCACATTTGTTTTTATTAATAATCATGGTAGTTTTTTTTAACTAAAATAGTCTATTTTTTATAAATGGGTTTTGAAAACCAAACCGTTCATGTTATGCTAAGTGGATTCTGTGAATCATAAAAAACTATATCTATCATCGATTTATTATCGAGAGGGATCGATACCTTAATACAAATAAATAAGGTCTCTAGTCTAGATAGTTAACCACGGTTACCATAGATTAAAAATAATAATAATTTTAATCTAAGGTTTTCGGTTCTACAAATAGCTGTATTATGTTAATGTATTATGTAAATACTCGTATTATGCTGCCATTTGACGTCGATATTCGGTGAGTACAGGATCCTTCCCTGTCGAGTTGAACACCGTCGTGTAACATACGTAATAAATACAGCTACATCGTGGCACTATTTTCCACTAGGCTAAATTTTGTTTATGCAGGATTCTATTAGTTGGATGTTTAAAAGTATGCTGGTAGAAAATTTTATTTATAAGAATAAAGAAGGAAGTAAAAAGAAGAAGTCACGTCATAAAAGTAAGAAAAATACGTGATACGTGACATTTTATAGATTCCTGTGGAGCCAGCTGCAACTATATTGTTGTTGTAGCACAAATAGGTTGTCTCAACCGGAGAAGGACCACACTGTCGCTGAATACCAGCGTCAAATAGCAGCTCAATGCTGCTGTGTTTTGTATAACGCGTGAAATCGGAGAACTGGAGACCCTTATTACTAGAAATGAAGCATTCTTTCATAGCATTATAAGGTGACAACGCATCTGAATTTTGAATCTTAATTGGAGATAGGATGTCTTCGGGCCATAGTATCTAATCACCATGGGGTGAACTGTGTTTTTGTTTGTCATCCTAATTCAAAAGTATACATAAAAAGGCACAAAAGTAAAAAATACTGCATTTTAATATAGGAGCGATTAATAAAATTACATGCCTAAGTTCATTTTATCGAATCGACATTTCCATGGAAAAGTCTCCAATCACGTATACCTATGTGCAAAGCAAACTTGAGCACTCCCTTTGAACTAAATGATCTACCTCACTCGTTTATTATATATACATATTTAAACTCCAACTATCAAAATAAAGTAAAGTTTTATAATTGGCCTTTAGGGTTGAAACAGGAATTATATTTTATTTATTATTGTAAAATGTTACTCCAAGAATTTCTTTAATATAGGTTTTTTCAAAGAATAATTCTGACTAACGAGCACACCGTCTAACTGATGGCAAGTGGATGCTTATACACATAAACATTTATTCATTTAAGGTTAAAATAAATCGTTTTTTATTTACAAAAAATACGTGTCTATCTACCACCCACTAAATTATTCCTCGCTAATCTTAAGCGTATTTTATTCTTCAAGCATACAGGTTTTCACTCAATGTTCTCCTTTATTACCGTGCATATGAAATGGAGGTAAACGCTTATATAATGGTGCAATACGTAGAGCAATATCATTGTAATTTTAAGATTCTTGGACCTACTCCAAATGTTTTAGGTTCTTTAATATTGTTTCAAGTATTTGTGAGGCAATAGAATCGTGCTGTAAATATTTTATGAACAAATTATTGAGCAGTTAGTTTTGACCTTCGCTTACTCTAATCAGTCCGTTAAATTTTACGACACGGAATGGGCTGGGTACCTTTTTTCATGAGATATATAGTATCATATATACCACGCATGGTCCGGCAATATAGCTCATAATATCGATAATCAATAGAGGAGAAAAATTTCTCAAGTAGCAGCCTCGTTCAGAACCGTGCTTTGAGGCATTGTTTGTGGAAAGCCTATGTTCAACAGTAAAATTATGAAGGACTGTAATGACGATGATGATGATGAAAATGATGCGCTGGCTTATAATAATAATTATTACGGCAAATACGACAATTTGCGAAACTGAAAATAGACTACAATCGTAGGACTATAATTATTGAAGGGTACGTACGCACGAGATGAGTTTTATGTCATACGCATAATAAAATTAACTAACCATTATTTTTATAATAGCATTCAAAATAAAAGCGTTAAAATCAAAATATATATCCAGCTCTATGGATTATGTATTGTATGGATAAGTAAAGAAGTTACGTTCACTTTATCTTTTCGACTGAAATAGTTTGGAGTAAGGAAAATATTCCTCCGTTTTATATCCTGGATAATAAATCAAAAGGTCCACTGAATACACACAATGTCTGAATGCTTCGTGAAGTATTTATTACATGTTCATTCAGCTGCTTGATTTACGAAGCGAATTGGGATTACTTGTATTAATCTATAAGTTTTCATGATATATTTCCAAGAAAGGACTAAAATTTTTACACTTTAAATTTTTAACTATATACTATTAAACATACTGTACCTTTTTAAATGGCTTTGCATTAGTGTTACAAAATGTATTTTTTTAAAGTTATAATTAAAATAAAAAATGTGAAAACCGATTTTAAATACATTCAAAATTAAATAATAATTTCCGAAATCGGTGTAAAAATATAACATCTTATAAAATAAAGTTCACTTTAAAGTCACGTTTTTAGTTTTTTTTTAAGTTTAATTAATTAATCATCATCATCATCATCTAAAATATCATCTATGTTAAAAAAACGATACATCCACACTAGGATATTACTAATTTGTACACAAATTTCACAAGAACAAACATCCACACCTGAAACAATTATTTGTAAGCAACACAAATACTTATTTCACGCAGAATCCGAACCCGCGACACTTGGCACAGCATCTCATTGCTAAGCCAATGAGCTATGGCGCTGTCAATAAATGTTAGATTAAAATTTTCATCCCCTAATGTTTCACCCTAATAGATATTTTTAGATGGGTTTTGTCGGAGTCGATCTGCTGGTGATCTGAAGAGTAGTAGAATTTAAGGGGGAGGCTTTAGGCGTTAGTTTGGATATAGCAAAAGCCTTCGATGGAGTTTAGCACAGAGCGCTTTGTTTCAGAACTCCCTGCCTATAGGCTGCCGGAGAAATTTTGCAATGGGATCTCCAGTTTCCTTATTTATCGGAGCAATAGGGTCGTAGTAGGCGGTGTATGCACTCTGGTGTTCCACAAGACTGCGAGCTATCTCCAAAGCTGTTTCTTACGCATATCAATGATATGTTGCAAACTGGTAACATTCATTGCTATCCCGACGACAGCAATGGCGATGTTTTATTAGTCATGTCAGTATTTCTCGGAAAAACGTCGCCGAGTACCCAAAGAAACTTGTTTGAAGTCGAGACTTTGTTGTACAAAGTATCTGATTAGAGGTAACTAAATCTAGTGCAGTTCAATCCCCAGATAGAGGCTTTATCACAAGAAGTGATGTTCCTATAGAATGGATCATCCGCTCTCATCAGGAAGTAATTGCGGAGGCTGCACTGAAATTAAGCACGGTGAGCGCGCCTACAAAGCTACATTCAGCATGCTTTCGTGGCAAGTACGGCCTCATTACCAACTATCTCAGATGGTCCGTCATATAGGACTTTTTTAACACTGTGGATTTTTCTATCCAGAGCTGAATGAACTGAATCAGTTTGAGTCCACCTGAGTACGACAAAGGTATACATGAGCACAGACATGATCAAAACATTATATCCCTGTGTCTTATTCACGTCTGATAAAAGGCTGTTAAGCACTTTGGTCGAACGTGCATAAAACAGATTGCAAACTGACTGTCTCATGTTTGCCTTATCAATACATATATTTTGTGTCATACCAAGGTATGGGTGTATTTCAGCCTAGGAAAAATTGATTAGTTAATTAATAAGAAGTGGTTTCTTAGTTCCACGACCACCGCCACTACATCTATTTTGTGCGCGCGAATTCACGTGATTTGAACCCGGGTGACGAATGATTCTTGTTTCCAAAATGGATGTTAGTGTATCATATATCGTCGGTAGATACGTGATAGGGCGGTTATGGCTAGGCCTTGGTAGTATCCTGGTCTTACGGAACCAAATAATTTATCAGTAATGAAGAGGCTCGGATGCGACTTCTGGTTGAGAGCTTCTTGAAACTGTTGGGCAAGCACAGCGTGACACAGCATCAACCCCTTTAACCAGTAGTGATGCAGCCCGTCAAGTCCCTGGCTTTTCCAGTTCGGGGCCCTTCGGACCGCCTCAGCTAAATCGTGTGACGTTATGATGACGGAGTCCATGGGCGAAGAATTGGCATACTGGCTCATCACAACTTCCACCCAAGAACTCCCGCTGTAGTTTACGGGCTCTGATCACAGACCGCGCCAACATGCGACAGTCTCGGCCTGATTCAGTCCTTGGCCCGTTCCACGTACCATTGGTCACTTCAATGATTTACAGAGCTGTTTTTGATCACTACGGATGAGACGGTTCTAGTTGAACCGGTTCGTCTTCTAGGTATATCGCTGAATCCATCTCCCTCAAGCATCGATACTTTGCTTCAGGTCACCTATGCGTTCAGTTAGTGTATGCGTTATATCCGGCTGGGACAAACTAACATTTGTCCCAACAAACGTCATCCCAACGGTATACACAATTCTTGGCCTGTAATTACCCGACTTGAAGCCTGTCAATCTGCCGATGAGGGCACTTACCTTTACAATACGGTCTTCAATTCTTTTTCTGCAGGCTGTAATGACATTACTTCGTGTAGTAGCACTTCTAGACGTTGGGAGCTTGGCGCCAATAATACAGAATACTACCAGTACGGTGCCAAAAATAAATGAGTCCGC